CGTTAGGCTCTGCAGCTGACAAGTCCTAGCTGAGCCTCGCTGCTGGTTATCTCCATCCAGGTGCCAGATGTGAATAAAGAAGACATCCTGGAAGTAGCTTCTCCAGTTCCAACTGTTGCAGTACCTGTCTTTGAGTTCTTCCAAGCTGTGGCCTAGATATACTAACGTAATAAAGACAAGCCATAGCTGTGGCGTCCTGTCTGAATCCGACTCACAGAATCCCTGAGCAGAACCAAATACTTGTTTTATGTCAGTGTATTTGGGGTGGTTAGTTTCTCAGCAATGGATAACCAGAACATAAGTAACAATTTAACTGGACAAACATTAGGTGAGTGGCAACTTTGCACAAGGGAATTCAAAGACTGCTAAAGACATGGTCCTTGCCTTGAACGAATTTACAACCCAGAAGTAGACTCTAACCTGCCATCGTTTACAGACTGTTCAACAATTAACAGTATCTGGCACACAGTAGATAATATTTACTGAATGAACAAATGAACTAAATATTAATTAGTACTGAGTGTTGGATAATAACCATTTCTACTTAAATTTCAACTTATTTATTTTTAATCCTCGGCCGAAGATATTTTTCCGTTGATTTTCAGAGAGTGGAAGAGAGAGGGAAAGACAGAGAGAAATATTGGTGTGAGAGAAAGACATCAATTGGTTGCCTCCTGAACGAATCCGACCAAGGCCTGGGCCAGGGAGGAACCTGCAACTGAGGTATGTGCCCTTGACCGGAATTGAACCCAGAACCCTTCAGTCCGCAGGCCAACACTCTATCCACTGAGCCAAACTAGCTAGGGCTGAATTTCAACATTTTTAATTGAGAAACTACTGAAAGATCAGGCTGTTAATCACACAGATGTTCAAATGGGATATAAAAATTCTATTTTATAATTTACCATTTTTTATTTTTAATAATTAATAGTTACTCTTAGGTGTTTATATCAATCAAATCACCCACCTTCACAAAACGTACATATTTTTCAAATTATCTTTCACAATATAGGCCTAAGACACTTTGGAAATTATTAAATTAGTAGCTCAAATATTAATAAGCACACTGGAAAATAGAACTTTAAACTAGACATAACTGCTTGGACTTTATCTACCTATAAATGAAAGAAGATTTTGCAATATTTCAACTATACACAGGCATGCCTCAGAGATATGTGGGTTTGGTTCCAGACCACCACAATAAAGCAAGTCTCACAATAAAGTGAGTTGTAATCGTTTTGCTGGTGGAGGATTTGCCTTCAATTTGTGAAAACAAAAAACCTTGTAGCATCTGTAAAGCACAATAAAGCAACACGCAATAAAACGAGGTATGCCTGTATTAAATTATTGTATGTATTATAGTTAAGTGAATATTCCTAACAACGTTTCCCGCCCAGTGTGGGTCAGTGGATGAGCATCAACCTATGAACCAGGAGATTCCTGTTCAGGGCACATGCTGGGTTGTAGGCTCAATCTCCAGTAGGGGGCGTGCAGGAGGCAACCAATTGATTCTCTCATCACGGATGTTTCCCTCTCTCCCTCTCCCTTCCTCTTTCTGAAATCAACACTCAAAATACGTTTTAAAAAAATTTATATTTTAAAAAAATTACTAACAATTTTAACATATTTTTAAAAAATTTACTAACAATGTGAAATTTTTATCTCACTGCTATCAAAATAATTAGTAACTGAACTGAGACTCTGCTTAGTTCCTCTAACATCCCATAACTGATGTTCATAAAAGAACTACAAAAGAACCAATTCCCGAAAAAGAACAGTTCTACTGAGAGAAATAAGAAAATCCTAACATATTCTTCAACCTCAGCTGTACCTAGGCCTGACCCAGACTAGCATATTAAAAAGTTTGGTGTCTATTTCCAGGAGGTCTGTTAGCATGTTCGGGTACCCTGCCTTTTGTAGACTGAAGATGCACAAAAACCTAAGGCTACAGCGTTTTTAAAAGCTTATATATCTATCCTATCCTTTTTCTTAACCCGTTTTTAATACAGCTTAGATTTAAGTAATAAATCTTCATGTTTCTGATATTTTAAAAATAACATTCTTCCTCATTTTTAAAATTATTCCTAAAGGGTGCACTCATTTTATAACACTGGTATTAGGAACAGAACGAACATGTATATTCCCATGGGTAGAAAACATTTACTACCACATAGCAGTAGAGAACATGATTTAACCTGTGGAAAAGTCAGATGGCATATCAGAATGGTAAAGAAGAATATGGAAGTTTTAGTCTAACTATATTATTAACTACCACTCTATATTTGTGACCCAGTTTCCTGATTTATAAAGTGAGGAGATTAGATTAATATCTTAAAATTCTATGATTTTATGTGTGAATATAATGACAAGCTATTCTACTAGTATGCCAGATTTATACTATTTCTAAATCTACTCTAGACGGTAAGGCAAAAGTAGATTTATAGTTTTAAGTGCATGAAACAGTTTATTCTTTTATTATTATTTACTAGAGGCCCAGTGCACAAAATTCATGCACGGGGTGGGGGTGGGGGTGCGTTGCCTCAGCCCAGCCTGCACCCTCTCCCAATCCGGGACCCCTCGGGGGATGTCCGGCAGTCGGACATCCCTCTCACATCCAGGACTGCTGGCTCCTAATCGCTCACCTGCCTGCCTGCCTGATCACCACTAAACCACTCCCCTGCCAGTCTGATTGATGCCTAACTACGCCGCTGTCATTTGGTCATCCCTCACTAACCCCCCGGCCGAACTGGTTGCCCCATGCAGCTTGCTGTTCAGTCATTTGGTTGTCCCTCACTAACCCCACTGCCGGCCTGGTTGCCCCACTCTGCCTGTTCGGTCGCCCGTTCGGTTGTTTCGGATGCGACGGCCCCTGGCTTTTTATGTATATAGATATAGATCAACTAGAGGCACAGTGCACGAATTCGTGTATGAGTGGGGTCCGGCTGGCCCAGCCCCAATCGGGGTGAATTAGGGTCAGGCCTGTTGGGAGGAGATAGTGGGAGGTTGACCGGCTGGCCCGCCCTGGTTGGGGCCCGATCAGGGCAGAGCCGGCTGGGGGGAGGGCCACAGGCAATTGGCTGGTAGGCCCCACCCCCAATTGGGGTCGGGGGCCGATTGGGGGTCAGAGGCCAGGAAGGGGCTGTGGGAGGTTGGACGGCCAACCCCACCCCCAATTGGTGTGTGGGGGACTATTGCGGGCAGAGGTGTCTGGGGAGAGGGGCCACAAGCTGATGGGGTGGTGGGTGCTGATCAGTGGTGGGGCCGGCGGTGGGGAGGGGCTGTGGGTGGTGGGTTGGCTGGCTGCGCCAAATGGGGTGGGAGACCTGCCCCCTATTGGGGTTGGGGGGCAATCAGGGAGGGGCCCGCTGGGTGGCGGGGGCTGCGGACCAATCAGGGTAGTGGTGGCTCATGGGGAGTGGGGCCAGCTGGGGGAAAGGGCTGTGGTGGTCGGGGGGAGGGTTTGGCCAGCTGCCCGCCCTTGATCAGGGTGGGAGAGGCCAATCAGGGGCAGGGCTGGCTGGAGGGAGGGGCCACTAAAGGTTGGCTGGCTGGCCCCAGCCCGATTGGGCCAGTTTGCTGGCCACAGTGGGCGTCATAGTGACCAGTCATTCCAGTCATTATGGCGTTCTGGTCGCTGGCTTTTTATATATACTAGAGGCCCAGCGTGCACAACATCATGTCCGAGTAGCTCGCTTCCACTTGCCTCAGCTGGCCACCCTGCCTTGGCCACTCCTAGTTCTCCCGGCCCTCCGCTGCTCATAGCTCTCCGCCGCTAATAGCTCCCGCCCTGCCCTGCCCTACTCGCCACGAAAGTCGCTGCTCATTTGGTCATGACGGCATTATGCCTGACAGCCACAGGCCTTTTATGTAAGAGATAGATTACTGTATTATTTTCCATACAAACAACTGTAAACTTACTTCTGCCCTACCCTGTATTGTACTATACATTGTTTTCACATAACTTAAAATTATTCCAGCTTTACACCACACAAGTGACTTAAATTTAGAAATGAATACATTTTTTTCTGTCACTTTATGTGATTCTACCTACTTAAGACATGAGATGGATTTTATTCCTTCCTAAGGGTATAAAGATCAAGAATTTACCAAAGAAAAATTATAAATCTCACTAAATAACCAGCTAACTAAATTACCTAACTTTTTAAAAAGTTTTCATTAGGACAAAAATAAAACCTAAACGTTTTAAAATTTCCAACCCCTAGTTCTTATTCAGACTAGTCCCTAAATGCATAATCTTTTCTTTTTTAAAAAAATACCCCTCACCCAAGGATATGTTTATTGATTTTTAGAGAGAGGAAGTGGGGAGGTGGGGAGAGAAACATCGATCAGTTGCCTCCCATATGTGCCCTGACCGGGGATTGAGCCTGCAACCTTTTGGAATATGGGACAATGCTCCAACCAACTATACCACCAGACCAGGGCTGAACACAGAATCTTTGTAAGATCTTGGGCAAATAAAATCGTATGTACCATTTTCCATATTACAACAAATCTATCATTTTCATTGGCTACATAATATCCCACTGAGTTTATGTAATTTTAACTCTTCCTCTACTGTTAATTAGATTGAGTCCAATTTACTGAACTATGCACAATGTTGCAATGAACACCCTTATATGCAATCTTTCCTTTTTTTTGGATTATCTGGATAAAAGGATATTTACATTTACAGTTTTTTAAACGTCTTGCAAAAGAGTCTATCATTATATCCTGCTACCCATATAAATAAATATAGCAGCTTCATAATTTTACCAGCAAAAATATTAATAGGTATACAATGGTACTTCCTCACCATAGTTTTTGTATTCATGTTTTTTTTATAAATACTGATATTCCATACAACTTACTCATTTTTGTATCTCTTGTATTTTATTTGTCCATTTACTTATTGATGCCTTTGTATTCTTTTAATCAATTTTTTGAACAGGCATTTTATAAAACCTAGAGTCACTTTTCTTTCTTTCATATTTTTTACTTACCTGTTTTTAAGATGTGCCTCCAGATCACAGCGCTGCATTACATCTTGGCACACTGAAGAAAAAGGACATGCAACTAATAATTTGTCCAGAAGTTTATGAACTAGAATACTAGACTTCTTACACAACTTAAAGTGAAGTCTTTTTCTGTCCAAAGGACAGAAATCTTTCTCTTGTAAGAAGTTTCTGAGGCACTTGCAGCAGAATGTGTGTCCACAGGGGGTATCTAATGGCTGCAATAGAGGCTGAAGGCAAATATGGCAGACCAGGTCATCATCCACTTCATTCTGGTAATTGTACAAGTGATTTTCTCTTGTCCAGTGCTGCTGACCACATTCAAAACACAGAGGATTGAAGGACGAGGAGGTGTGTTCCACCGATACCATCTCATCACTTGTTGTTCCCATTTTGAATCAACTGAAGCAGTTTCTGTATATTCACACATTGGATTTCTACTTCCACATCAGGTCTGGTTTCCTTTAATAGATAGTGATGTATTTGACTAAAACCAAGGGTTTCTAGATTAACAAAACAAACAAACAAAAAGTAATTAACACCCACCAAGAGAGGCTAAAAGTATTAATATAATATTACCAGTTAACTTATTTTTTAGTAAAATATTAAAATTTAGGTCATGTTGGACTTAGAGTAAAGATGGTGAAGTAGAATGTCAACTGTAATTGAAAAATATTATAATTTTCAAAAACAGTAAAAAATATTAAAAAGAAATCACAGTAACATTTAGAACAGGTAACAAATTAGTCATAAAACATAAAAATGTAATTAATTTGCTAGTTGGGTAAGAATGAATTACACCGCTAAGTTCTCAGTAAAAAAAAAATTGTGATTAAAAGCAAAGATGTCATATACTATATGACGTGGCATAAGAAACAATCAATTTGTTTTATTTACTAACTGAAATCCACAACTACTTCACTGCTCAATGATTGTTTTAAAGACCATTAATCTACAGAGTATGTAATCTAATTTGAGGTATACTACGTAATACATTTGCTCAGGCAATCCCAATCATGGTTCTTTGCTACTGACTGATTTTATGCATTTATAAGACTACATCAAAGATTGCATCTCTAAACGTAGTTTCAAAGGTAATTCAGTGTATGTTTAAAAAATGGCCTTTGCTCCACACTATGGGGAGAAATGGATTTCAAAATATCTATGATTTGAATATTCTCTCTATATATAACATAGATTATACAAAGATAAATATTCATAGCATATATGCAACCGCCATAAAATACAATGCTATTTAATGCCATTTAAAAAAAACACCCTTATGTAATTCAATTAAACAGATAATGTTATAAATTTCAATTCCACCTCATATTATTCAATTATCCCATTTGTCCTGGCTTGCTCAGAGCAGCAGCAGCAGTGTGTGTGTGTGTGTGTGTGTGTGTGTGTGTGTGCGCGCGCGCGCATGCGCATGTGTGCAGATGTGTGTACATGCACACATCCCCTCCAACACAATGCTCTTAAAAAAGCCTACACCAATTTAGTGTAGGCTCCCCTTAGGTGCAGTTTCCAGATTCCTGCCGCTGGAGCACCAGGGGTTAAAAAGTCAACACTAAAGGCAGCAGCCGTCTCTATTCATTTTTCTGTACATATTTACAGTGTCTAGTATGTGCCAAACATTGGACAAGGGCAGAGAAGTAGGGAGAGGACAGTTAAGCAAACCAACTATTAAAATTCAATGTAATAAGTACTCTGAGAAAGTTATGCTCAGGATGCTATGTGGATATGGAGAAAAGGGAGGAGAACTGGCATCTAATTTAGTTTAGTTTTGAGGCCAGAAATACTTTCAAAAGGAGAAAAAATATGCACTGCTGGGTTGTGACAGGAAGCATTAACCCAAGAGAAAAATGCACAAGGGCATCTTAATGCTAAGTCACAGGAGCTTGAGAGTGCACATATATTCAGGGAATATGGAGCAGATCAAGACCTCTGAGGCAAAGAACATGTACTTGGCCCTTGGGGCAGAGTAATTATAAGACTCAGTGTCCCTGCTCCAAGAACAAAAAGAGTAGGACACTAAGCTAATGACTCTAGCATTTGTTTCAATAATAAAATTCTCCTCTAACTATCTATAATAATAAAAGCATAATATGCTAATTAGACTGGACAGCCAAATGACCTTCCGGATGTCATTCCAGATGTCCTCCCAAATGAAGCCGTAGCAGCAGGGGCCAAGGCAGAGGCGGTGAGGGGCGATCAGGCAGGCAGAGTGGTTAGGGGCAATCAAGCAGGCAGGCAAGTGGTTAGGGGTGATCAGGCAGGCAGGCGAGTAGTTAAGGGCAAACAGGCAGGCAGGCAGACAGAGTGGTTAGGGGTGATTGGGTGGGCAGACAGGCAGAAGTGGTTAGGGGCAATCAGGCAGGCAGGCGAGCAGTTAGGGTGATCAGGCAGGGAGGCAAAGTGGCTAGGGGAAATCAGGAAGGTGAATAGTTAGGAGCCAGCTGTCTCAGATTGCGAGAGGGATGTCCCCCAAGAGGTCCCGGATTGCAAGAGGGTGCAGGCCGGGCTGAGGGACTCCCTCCTCCCCCCGTGCATGAATTTCATGCACTGGACCTCTAGTGTATATATACTTGCTACTTTACTTATCTGACATATTTATTAGAAAAACAACACTAACTCTTAATTATCCCAGGGAGTAAAGGGACACAGAAAAGCACTGATTGAGTAGTTAGAGGCCTGGGTTCAAAATCTGGCTGTCACTCACTAGCAATGTGACATGATAATGTGGCACAGCACTTAAATATCTATAAGCTTCAACTTCCTCATGTGCAAAAGTGAAAATAGTAAGACTGTGAAGCTAAAAATGTTACACAGCCAGGAAAACATTTTACAAAGTACAAAGACTCACTGTACAAATTTATGACTAGATTATTGATTATAAAGGATCCTATCTAATAAAGAGGGAATATGCAAATTGACCATCATACCATAACAAGATGGCTGCGCCCACAGTGCAGGCAGAGATTCTGTAACACAAGATGGCTGCACCCACAGCAGAGGCTGAGTTCCCGTAACGAACCCTAATGAGCAATCAGGTAATGAGCCTTAACGAGCAATCAGCAGGGATCTGAGGCTGCGTGGCACTGGGCCAGGGCAGGGGTGCACCCCCTGCCTGGTGGGGCTTGACAAGGGACCTCAGGCCTCACCCCCTCCCCAGCAAGCCTTGATGGGGGACCTCAGGGCGCACCCCCTACCTGGCGGTGCTTGATGGGGGACCTCAGGCCACAACCTCCACCCCGGTGCCGGGCTGGGAGACCTCAGGCCATGCACCCTGCCCTGGTGCCGGGTCGTGGGATCTGAGGCTGCGCCCCCTGCCTGGTGGGGTTTGATGGGGGACCTCAGGCCATGCCCCCTGGCCCGGGCCAGGGGACCTCAAGGCACGGCCCCCCAGCCTGGGCTGGGGGACCTGAGGCCATGCCTCCTGCCCTGGCGCCGGGCCAGGCGACCTGAGGCTGCGCTCCCCCAACCGGCAGGGCTTGACGAGGGTAGGGCTGGCTGGGTCTGGGTCTCTTGCGATTTCAAGGTGCACATGGGTGGGCGGGTACTTGACTCTGGTTACCATGGCATGTCCCAGACTCTGACAGGAGGAAGATTTTCATATACATTTTACTAATTTTCTTACATCTCTGACACTTCTATTCTAGAGAAAGGGCAAATAGCAATATTAAAATATTTCCTCCAATTAATTCCCTTTTAATGTGCACGAATTTTGTGCACCGGGTCACCAGTGATGTAGATAAGAACGGACAACAGACAAACTGGATTGCTGGACGGCCCAAGCTCCTCCTACTAGACTGGTCTCAGGAGGCCTGGATTAGATTCTTAGCTCTGGGACTAATAGCCAGGCCAAGCAGCCCAGCACTCCACCTCTCTAGTCTCCCACTATCTTAACCGAGGCTAAACTAGATCAACTCTAAAGTTACTTACAGGGCCCATGATTCTTCTTCCCTCCAAAACAGAACAAACATTTTCCCTTTACTATTATTCAGCATTGTGATTACTATAAAAATGATCTCAATCCAAAGCTTATCAGGAGGGTTTCTTTTGAGTATTTCTTTTTTGTTTGTTTGATCTTCAAAGTACTGGACTCCAAATATTCTGACCTGAAAATTTCCATTTTCACAGGCAAGTGTATGTAGAAGAGAGTAGTGCTAGATATACAAATGAACATCTCTGAATTTTTATTATGGTAGTATGATATAAGATACTACAATGCTGTAAGACAAAAATAACTTTCTTTCCTGGTTCCCAGATAAGATGCTGATACTTTATTCTAAAGGACTAATATGGTTGGTTGGTTTGCGTTTCCTTTCTTTAAGGCAAGCACAGTAATTGTTAGTAATATAGATAGATGGTTTTAGATGGCAGATTTTGCTCCAGAGCCCATCTTACATGTGTCCATAAAAACCCTAAAGCTACAGAAAAAGAACAAACTTTTTAGTCTTATTTCCCTCCTTAAATGCAAAGATATCCACAGGACATTGCTATTCTGTGATCAAAACTACACAATAAAATAAATGAAGTGGAATCCAGTCAGGATGGCTTTATGGTGATGGTATTGCTAATAGTTAAGATTCTCAGCCCTAGCTGGTTTGGCTCAGCGGATAGAGCGTCAGCCTGCAGACTGGAGGATCCCGGGTTTGACTCCAGCCAAGGGCACATGCCTAGGTTGCGGGCTCATCCCCAGTGGGGGGCGTACAGGAGGCAGCCGATCGGTGATTCTCTCTCATCTTTAATGTTTCTATCTCTCCTTCTCTCCCCCTTCCCCTCTGAAATCAATAAAAATATATTAAAAAAAAAGATTTGCAGACTTCATTATCTTAACTATGGACAAGATATAGGAAGTTTACATGGTGCAGCTTTTCAAGCCAATCAGTGACACCAATAATTAAAACAACATGTATTAAGATGCTCAATTTTTTTCAGTTGTAACTTAATATACATAAAAATTATGAGATAAAGAATGATCGTTTATCAATGACTAGGCAAGATCTCTGCTTTCTCAAGATTAGTCTAAGGAGATATTAGCATCATGGAAAGGAACCAAAGCCTTGGTATTTATCCACAATAATTCTCATGTTGCCAGAGGCCCTTGTAATTTATTAAAATGAGTTGTTTGAGTTACATATAGTTCTAATGCTAGAAAATCATCAGAAATATAAAGATGTTGTACTATATTAAACCTTTAGGATGGTTAACAAAGCACCCCAAATTTTATTAGTTTCCCATGCTGCAGAAACTGATCGATTCAAACAAAATCCCAGGTTTTATGTTACGTAGTTACTACCTGCCTTTTTGAAATTTCCACTAGGAAACTTTAACAAACTAAATATATTCAAATCAAACTAATTATTATTCTTCCTAACCTTCAAACCTGACCTCCTATTCATTCTCTATCCTCTTCCTTGCCATCTATCCATCCATCCATCCATCCACCCACCCACATTGTTGAGAATCTATGTGCAAAGAAAAAGAAAGCAAG